GGCCTTGGTAGATGCGTCTCACTATCAGGCGGTTGTTGGCTAAGGAGTTTAGGGAGCGATAGGGTGATTGGACTCCTAGCTGTGCTGTGTAGAGTCTGTTCGCTTGCTCGCGGCGATCATGCTGAACAGTGGACCTTAGATACTGGGGCGTCTTGGGGCGTGGCGTTGGTGGGCAACTCAGCTCACAGGGACGCGGTGTTCAAAGTTTGAGAGTCGGAGGTTTACGACAAGATGGGGGTGACTCATGTGCAGCCCACCCTCGATATCAAGCCATTGTACGATACTCTCAGATGGGATCGTTTCGCATCGGCGGCGCTGCGACTGGGTTTTCCACCAACCATGCTGGCACTGAAACTTCAGGTGTGCATGGCGCCGAAGATGTTGGGCCAATTATCGACGCACTCGATGTCATTCCAACCTACTCGTAGTGTTACCCGGGTCCTCAAAAACGGGACGAGGTGTGCCGCATGTTTAGCATACTTTAGTTTGGAACTGGTTACGCTATCGCACCAATCATCATGTAGTTCGGAACGTGTTTGGATAGACGACCTTCTGTTGCGAAGTGCTGGGTCCCAGTTGTTCGGTCAGTGCAAGGCGGGGCTTTGCATTCGAGACGTCGCTGAGCGTACTCGGAGCGAATATCTCGGCATAGCCCCGAAGAGCGTGATGCTCAGCTCGTCGCATCCTGTATACCCTCGTGCTATTCAGTCGTCTGAAGCAGAAGGGCATCTCGATTCAGCATGTTTTCCGAGCTGACCATTTAGGGGTGGACTTGGGAGCGGGGAAGAGGGTGGCCAGACAGACGAGGAGAGCAAGGGTGGTCAAGGGTGGGACTCAGAACGGTGCTACCTAGTGACGCAAGCTACGTCGCAAGCTACGGCGCTTTGAGAGGACCGCGAGATGATACCTACTGGCAAGACGCGTGGAGCTTGCAAGACCGCCATCAGTGTCATCGCACGGAACGGCTATTCACGGGGCTTCTGGAACGCAGTGACTTAGCTTGATGAGGAGGAGGATGCTACGAGCGGTTTCAAAAGCCAACAAGAAGGGGAAATGTTTAACGACGGCCCTAGACTTGTGCGCGACAGGCAAGAGCCCAGGTCGTCAAGCAATGGATGGATTGCTGGTTAGATATCCAAATATCAATGATGGTGCTTCCGGGGCGTGTTGTTCAGCAGCACTCTCGGAATATTAAAGGACATCTAGCGGGGACAATCGCCCACCCTCTCCAAACCGCCGACCCTGTCGGCGTGTGTGAGTGGCTTGTCTGTTCGAGTTGTCGTCTCCGTCAGTTGTCGTCTCCGTCGTTCCCTTTCCCTACACCCTCCTTCTGAAGCTTGTCAGCTTGTCAACTTGTCGTAATCGAGTCGAAGGGAAACGGGGGGGGGTAGGGGGGCTGTCTCAGAGGGGGCGGGTCAGATACGCATCCCCCCCTTTGGGGTCCTGGGGCCTCAGAAAGTACCAAGACAGGCCAAGAGTGCCCCAAGAAGCACCAGAGACTGTCCAAGAGGGCCCCCAATCGCCAAACGATCGGTCCAAAACGCTTTCGCGCCCTCCAGACTGCCCAGGAGGCCTGCAGGACGCCCCAAGAAGCCTCCAAGAGCACTCGCGAGAGCCCCAAAAGGCCACATCGATTGATGTTCTGTTGGTGTTTAAAGATTTGGGCGTTCTCGTCTTTCCACTTCCCGCTGATCCAATACGGTGCAAGAGGCCCCCCAGACCCAAGGTCGCCCCTAGACGGCCCAAGAGGCCTCCAAAACAGCCCAAGAGAACCCCAATACAGCCCAAAACGCTTCCAAGACGGCCCAAGATGCTCCCAAGACGGCTCCGAGAGCGTGCCCAGACGGGGGACCCGAACAGAGATTTCGAGCACTCGGCACCGAGAGGCTCCCAGGAGGTTCCAAGGGGTTCCCAAGGCCCCAAGAGGCCCACAAGAGGTCCCCAGGAAGCCCGAAGAGGCACCCAAGAGGCTCCCAAGAGGCCCCAAAATTCAGCCCCAGAGGCCCCCGAGAGCCTTCCGAAGAGACCCCGGGAAGCATCCCTGAGGATTCTCGTCCACGTCAGCGTCGTCGTCGTCGTCGCTGCTGCCGTTGTCGTCTTGTTGTCGTCGTTGTCTCCCTTCAGGGTCAGCGGCACTGGCCGTGAGGCCTTCGTAATATCTAGGGGCATCTAGCTGGGACCATCGCCCACCCTCTCCAAATAGGTTGGAATCCAACTTTTGCAGGAGAGTGGCATGGACCACTCAGAGATGACGGCATCCCTTTGTTTAAGCTCGACGCCTCACTACTCGAGTCCGCCCGCCGAGGAGGCTCAAGATCTTCTAGACGATGTCGCGATTTCAATTGCCCTTGGTGAGTGGCGAAAAGCAGCTAGTCACCGCTGCGGCGCCGGCCAGGAGTACGGCGCCGAGGATGATTGTGTGAGGCAGTTGTTGGCGCAGCTTGAAACATCTGACAAAGGTCGACAACTCTCTGCTATTTTTTACTGTGCACAGCGGTCCGAGGACGCTGCATGCGAGAGAGAAATCATCATGTTGGGATTATAAAATGATGGATTGTGCCCGAGCTGTCGCACTGAACTGGAGACGCCGTTGCATCGGCACTGGCGTTGTTGCAAGTACGCAGTGCACCCAGACCACACGCAGTCGGAGTCATTAATTCAATCGGAAATTTCCATGGGAGAAGTGGAAGCTTGATTATTAGCTTCGAAGGCTCATTCCATCGAATTGGACCAGGGTTCGCGATTCCCCTTCTGAGCAATCGTGGCGTGTTGCTGGTCTTCCTCGGAATGAAATAAAAGCTGGAGCCTCAGCAGACGGCTAGGAAGAGTCACCAGATTTAGTTTTCGGAGACGCCGCAAGTGGGGCGGACGGACACGACCCGCGGCTGAGGCGAGTCGGCATCGGAGTCGGCACCATGGTACGGCGAGAACACCACACTCTTGGCCCTGTTATCATAGGCCCTCTGACGGGGAAACGGCAGACTGTGGAGCGAGGTGGACTCAAAGCTCTTGAAGTTTCGATTCGATTATCAGCTGTTTGATGTATTTCTCTGACAACCACGAGGTCGTTCGGGGATGGAAGTTTTCCCTGCATCAAGACCCAAATGACGCGATGCCAGCGTTATAGATGCGACTCTGGAAACAGCAAGCTGTCCTGCCGCGGGACCAGTCTCACCCCGCCTTCCCTGGTGAAACGAAGACGCTAGTGCGGACGAGGGTATAGCGGAGGAAGGGGGACGAAGCACAAGAGGAGAACCAGCGAATGGGGAGAAGGCGGAGGGCACGGAGGAAATGGAGGCAGTACAGGGTCCAGAAATCAGAGTTCAAACGTGGACCCGAAAATGTGCAACGCCCCAGACTCGGACAAACGAAAGAAAGCCACACGAACCGACCTGCAGAAGGCAAGCTCATGCGTTGAATCAGCCCCTGACTAGATAATGAAGCGCTATGTTCGAACGACCCCTCAGGCTGGAACAGCCTACGTTATTACACAACTGGCATAGAGGAGAACCACAATAGGGAATGGGAACACAATAAATCCATTAGGACGCTGCATCGCGGGAAGCACTGAGAAACATACTGCTGGTGTTATCGTGTCGAATGTGCGCAGAGCGCGCTGACAACTACGTAAGTATGGTTTGACGGGAGCGGGGGAAGAAGAGGAGGAGGAGGAGGACGAGGACGAGGGGGAAGGAGGACACACCGTACTGCGCGGATTCGGGGCGGCTCCTCAGTGTAAAAGCGGCCAGCGAGCCCGGGCGGCCCGCAAGCGCCCTCCCTTCCATGCATCCGGCGGGAGCGCCAATCAAAAGCACTGCGCTCGAACCCCAAGCGAGCGCATCAAGCCCAACCCACCGAGGGAGAGAGGCGAACGGACAGGGAGGGCGGGAGGAGGGAGAAGAGGGGAAAAGCAGTGACTTCCAGACAATTGGCCTCGCACAGCGCGCGGAGACGAGCACGCTCACCAGTCGGCACGTGCAAAAGATGTGCACGAATACCCCCTTCCACACCAAACGACAGCAGAAGCCACAGCATCAGGGCGTTCTGGGCCGGAATGCTAGGATGTATGAGGCCCCAGTATGCGGCCCAAGTTGATATCGGGAGGTTCATTGGCAGGCTGTTGGCATCCAGGTGGGCCAGCACTCTTCAGGTCATCATAACTCCTTCGCATGTCGAGGCCAGCGACATCGTGCGGAGGCAGTGGCCTGGGTGGTGGACTGCAGGAAACGAGGCGGCAGATCGACTGGCGTCGGAGGCTGCTAAGACTGCTCGGCTTAAGGAGTGTGAGAGTTTTGCTGTCGGACAGGCGGAGGATCAAGAGGCGGGTGCATGGAAGATAAGGTCGACTCTGCAGAACTTGGTTGCACCTCAGGCCCTGGTTTGGGCTGGAAGACGGTCTTGTGCTCTGCCTGCTGATGCCGATGCTGATCTCTGCCCCCCGCCTCCTCGTCCCACGGTGCCACCTGCCACCCCCCACCGTCGGCTGTCGCCCTTCTTCTCTTCGTCCCACGCCCTCGACGCCAGCCGAGGCAGGTGCGAGGTCTGCAAGAAGTTCGGCTACTCGTGATACGATGACTTCTTTGTTAGGCACGCCCTGCGTCCCGCTGGAGACTGTGGATGCAGGAGGAGAAGGAGCGATGAGACCGTCTCGGGGAGAGAAGGTGCATACAGGTGGTGGGTGAGCGTTTTTCTCTCACAAGCCCGTCGTAAGGTGTGCGTCGGGGGTTGGGATCTGTGTTGCTTGCGGATTGTTTGGGGATCTGAATATTCGGAGCCTGGATGTGCAGTGTGACCCGTGCACGGTAACTCCTAAGAGACGGGAGTTCCTACAGCGAATTCACAGAGGGGCGTATGCCAAAGGCCCTCTCCAGCAAATGCAGCTGGCCGTGTGTGGATCTAACTACGTCAGGGCCCAAGTTCCCGAACTCCCCCTCCCCCTCCCCCTCCTCCTCCTCCTCCTCCTCCTCCTCCTCCTCCTCCTCCTCCTCCTCCTCATGGACCTGCTGCGGCTGCGGCGCCCCCGCGGCCTGCATCGCCTGTGGCGCCGCCTGCAGCACAGGCTGCGCCGCGGGCGCCGCCAGAGCCTCGGGGCCGCCGCCGCCGGCCGTCACCGCGGGAGCCCGCCCCTCCTCGGCCGCGCTCAGCCTCGCCTGCAGGTCCGCGTTGGCGGACCGCAGCAGGTCCAGCTGGGAGCTGAGGGTGTCGATCTTGCCCTCGCGCTCCTCTGCGAGCGCTGCACTCGCTTCTGATCGGAGCGCCCCTGGGGAGAGAGAGAGGGAGGGAAATAGAGAGAGAGAGAGGAACTGACAGGCATCCAAACATAGGAGAGAACGCGTTTCGTGGACGCTGGCCTTGAAACAAAACCTTTGAGCACGTGGAGCCGCCCACCCCCCAACCAAAAAAACAACACCAGTTTGCGTGCCCTGAGAACCAGGAGAGCTCCCCCCCCTGGACGTCGGCCTCCCTAACCAGCCCACCCCCTCCCCCAGGGGGTTCGAAGCGGGGGGGGGGGCCTCCCCCGTGCAAGAGGGGGGCGTTCGAACCGGGCGGGGGGTCCCTGAATTGCAAGGGGGGAGGGGGGTTCGAATCGCGAGGGTGCCCCCCCCCTGTGCAGGAGAGGGGGGTCGAACCGCCCCCCCCCTTCAGAGTTGCAGGGGCGACACCGACGACGACGACGGCGACGGCGACGCATAACAGCACACTGCTAAACACGCAACGTAAGTTTTACACATTGCACGAACAATTAGCCAACACACATTCCAACTAGATCAGAAGGCTGACATGAGATGGAAAGGAGTGAAACGAAGTAGACTGGACCGGACTGGGATCGATTCTACTCCACTCTACTCTACTCGACCCTATTATAATATGCTCTACTCTACTCTGATAAACCGGACTCTACTCTACCACATACCCTGTTCTCATCTAGTATACTCTGCTATACTGTATCTGACCCTACCCTAACATACGCTAGTCTGATCGACTCTACTCCTACTCCTGCTCTGTTCTACTTCTACAGTAATATGTACGATGTACTCCCACACCACTCTACTATAATGTACTCTGTTCGTCTCTACTCTACTTTACCTTGCTCGAATATGCCCAATTCTACTCTACCATCTACCCTACTCTACTCGAGTCGGTTCTATTCTACCCTACTCTACACTATCCTATCCTGTCCTAGACTACTCCTCCTCTACTTATACTCCTACTCGACTCTGCACATACTCTGCCCTATTACACTCTACTCCCACCCTACTCCACTCTTTAATAATAGACCAGGCTCTTGTCTACTCTAGTCTAATTCACTGTATTATACCCGGCTTTACTCTACCATCTATCCTACTCTACTCTCCTCTGCTCTACTCTACCTGACTCTAATCTACCCTACTCTACCTTACCTGCCCGAACCTACTCTACACTATACTGCTCTACCCTGACCCTAACCCACTCTACGTCTAGTCTAACTCTACTCTCCTCGACGCGACTGTACCACATCATACCCGTCTTTACTCTACCATCTACCCTAGTCTATTCTACTCTACTCACCTCAGATATACTCTACCCTACTGTACCGAACCCTACACAAACCTGTTTTTTCGAGGCGGCCGTCGGAGCTGAAGACCATCGGCTCGTACACCGTCGCCGTCGCCAACGTCGTCGTCGCCACCTTCGTCGTCGTCGTCGTCGTCGTCGGCGGCAGCGGCGGCGTCGTTAGCGTCACCGTCACCGTCGTCGTCGTCGTCGGCGTCGTGGGCGTCGGCGTCGTCACCATCGTCACCGTCGTCGTCGTCGCCGCCGCCGGCGCTGCCGCCGTCGTCGTCGTCGTCGTCGTCGTCGTCGTCGTCGTCGTCACCGTCTGTGCCGTCGTCGTCGTTGTCGACGTCGTCATTCTCGTCGTCGTTTACCATTGGCGAAGGGTGGGGGGAAGCCGGTTCGACCCGTCCCCTTGCAATTCTCAAGGGGCGAAGGGACACCCCTGGTCTCGTCGTCGCATCGTCGTGGTCGTCGTCGTCGTCGTCGTGGTCGTCGTCGTCAGAGTCGTCGTCGTCGTCGTCGTCGTCGTTGCTCGACGGCGCTGGCGCCGGCGCCGGCGCTCGTCGTCATCGGTTGCAGGATGGGGGCCCCCCCTGCAATTCAGGGGGCGGGGGGCTCCCGGGTTCGGACTCCGCTCCCCCCTTGAGAGAAGGGGGCCACCGGAGCAAAAATTGACAATTCTCCTGGGGTTTCCCGCGTGCCCCCTGGGCCCCGTCGCGGCTTGTCGCGTGACTTCTTAGAACCCAAGGGGACCTCAAGACGGGCCAAGAGGGCCTCTAGAGGCCCTGAAGAGGGCGCGAAAGGGCCCCGAGACGCCCCAAGATCCCCCAAGACGCCCAACATGGCCCGAAGACGGCCCAAAAAGCTCCCAAAACGCTCCAGGAGGCCTCCCAGAGGCCTCCCAGGAGGGCCCCCAAACGCATCAATCATTCATTTTCTTATGGTTTTCTTTCCTTTCTGACGCTCCAAAACGGCCCAGTAGGCCCCTAAAACCACCCCAAGACGGCCCAAGAGGGCTCCAAGAGGGAGGGCCTCAAGACGGCCTGAGAGCGCCCCCAGACGGCCCAAGCGGGCCCCAAAACGGCCCCAAAAAGGGGCCCAAGAGAGGGAACATGAACCGAAAATTTAAGCCTGCCGCCCCAAGAGGCCCCCAGGAGAGGCCCCAAAACGGCCCCCAAGAGGCTTCAAACCTGCCTCCAAGAGGCCCCTGAAAAGCCTCCCACGAGATCCGAGCGAACATCTAATAGGCCTCATACCCAAACCCAGGCACGGTGGCGGGATGGGCCGAAGGCCATTCGACCTGCTTGGCACGGGGACGGAAAGCGCACTTACTTTCAGAGCGCACGAGATCGCTTGCTCGTCCGCTCTTACACCTCTTATTGACTCCCTTCCCCTCGCTCTTGTCCTATCTCAGCCTCGGAGAGTCGCGGAGCTTTCTTTGAGCGCGTCTCTTGTTTTGGAGGGGGCGGTCGGGTCGCATTGCGTGTTCCGCGTTTGGGCTGCCAGCTTTCCAGAACCCCGCGTTTTCCTTGCGTGGACCGCTCGTTGTCCACGCGTTGCCGCCCGTCCCTGTGCCCTGGCGTCACAAACTTATTACGCCGCAGCTTTCTGTTGGGAGCTTTGGTCTTATCAGCTCGATTACGTCACCGCTCGCTCTTGGGAGCCGCGTTTCCCTTCAGGAAATTAGCCTGACGAGGGACCCAACCATATGCAGGTGTGAGTACCGCAATAGTGATTCACTTTTTCGGTGGCGATCCCTATGAGGCAACGAACCGTGCTAGGGGTGTGCCGACATGAGTGGCGTGGTACACAACGCGAACGGAAACGATTGATCTGAGTACGTAGGGAGACTGAGCGCGGGTGAATCTGCGCGCGTGCGTCTGACTGTGACTGAATCTGCGTGCGAGCGAGTCTACGTGCATGAATGCGAATATGACAAAGCGTGGTGCAATTGTGTATGAATGTGAATAGTTTGTCAACGACTGCCTCTGAGTACTCGTGACGCTGGGCGTGGCCGCCGCAAGGAGCTTCCCCGGGACTCCCCGACGGCATCGCCCGCGCGCCGCGACGCCAATGTCGGCGCGCCCCCCCGCGAGGATCGCGCCCGCTTCCTCCCCTTCCTTTACTCCCTCTTTGCCCGCGCACTCAAAAGTCCAAGGCTGCGGGCGCAGCGCAGCGCGGAGTCCCCCGGAGGGGTCCCAGCGACGCGCGCGGGTCGTCCACTGCGCGGAGCAAAGAGAGCTAGCTGGCTGGCTGATAGCGGGCAAGGCTCTTGCCGCTGGGCAGAGCGACGACGGGCGAGCGAGGCGCTGGGCAGAACGCAGCACGGAGCCCCCGCGACGCGCGCAGGTCGCCCCGGAGGGGTCCCAGCGACGCGCGCGGGTCGCCCGCTGCGCGGAGCAAAGAGAGCTAGCTGGCTGGCTGGGACCTGCGGTGGGGCTCCATATGGGGCCACGTAACGCTGTACTGGGCAAGGGAGACGCATGCGGACTGCGCCACGGGGACCTTCGGTGGAGTTCCCTATGGGGCCACGAAACGTGTGAGGTGTGTGCCGAAATGAATGGCGGGGACGCATGCGGACTGTTCCACTGGGACCTTCGGCGGAGCTCCTATGGGGCCACGAAACGTGTGAGGGGTGTGCCGAAATGAATGGCGGGGACGCATGCGGACTGCGCCACGGGGACCGTCGGTGGAGTTCCTGTGGGGCCACGAAACGTGTGAGGGGTGTGCCGAAATGAGTGGCGGGAACGCATGCGGACTGTGCCACTGGGACCTTCGGCGGAGCTCCTGTGGGGCCACGAAACGTGTGAGGGGTGTGCCGACATGAATGGCGGGAACGCATGCGGACTGTGCCACGGGGACCTTCGGCGGAGCTCCTATGGGGCCACGAAGCGTGTGAGGGGTGTGCTGAAATTAATGGCGGGGACGCATGCGGACCGTGCCACCGGGACCTTCGGCGGAGCTCCTATGGGGCCACGAAACGTGTGAGTGGTGGGCCGACATGCGGAGACGCATGCGGACTGTGCCACCGGGACCTTCGGCGGAGCTCCTATGGGGCCACGAAACGTGTGAGGGGTGTGCCGAAATGAACGGCGGGGACGCACGCGGACTGTGCCACTGGGACCTTCGGCGGAGCTTCTGTGGGGCCACGAAACGTGTGAGGGGTGTGCCGAAATGAATGGCGGGGACGCATGCGGACTGTTCCACTGGAGCCTTCGGCGGAGCCCCTATGGGGCCACGAAACGTGTGAGGGGTGTGCCGACATGGGTATGCAGGACGCATGCGGGCACACCCACTGGGACCTTCGGTGGAGCTCCCTATGGGGCCACGAAGCGTGTGAAGGGTGTGCCAAAATGGGTGTGCGGGACGCATGCGGGCACACCCACTGGGACCTTCGGTGGAGCTCCCTATGGGGCCACGAAGCGTGTGGGGTGTGCCGAAATGTGTGTGCGGGACGCATGCGGGCACACCCACTGGGACATTCGGTGGAGCCCCCTATGGGGCCACGAAGCGTGTGAGGGGTGTGCCTAAATGGGTGTGCGGGACGCATGCGGGCACACCCACTGGGACCTTCGGTGGGCTCCCTATGGGGCCACGAAACGTGTGAGGGGTGTACCGAAATGGGTGTGCGGGACGCATGCGGGCACACCCACTGGGACCTTCGGTGGAGCTCCCTATGGGGCCA